GTCACAGTTTACGTGAACAACGTGGAAAAAGGGCCAGTCCGAAATCTACGTGGTGCTGGATGAAGCGCAGATTGGACTGCGAATAAGAGAGTCATACGCTATCGACATCGATAGAAAGTTCAATTATATGGAAAGCCTTGGTTTGCTAGATGTGCAGATATCGGTTCCACCTCAGTATAAAGTCCTCAGTGTACGTTAAACCTCTGCATATCAAGTGCCAAGACCTCTGTTGGCAGATCCGTTTCAGAGCCCATCGATGACTCGAACAGCCGACACTCCTCGCGTCGAAGGTCTTATCAATCCGTTCCCGGAAGAGCCGTTCCAACAGCAATTCTCCTCAACTCACATGGACCAGCGTTAACGATCAAAGCATTCGAGGACAACTTATGAAGTGTAGGTCATGCTGTAAAATGGAAAATAAAGATAGTGCAGAAAACGTTCCACAAAAAGCCCGCAGATGGATTTTTGACTCGTGCGGGGCAGTGGCAATGGGTTCCTCCAAAATTTGTGGGAAGATTTGGACTAGAAATTTGTCTTCAGAGGTAGTTCGCTTGTTGCCCGCATTCCAGGTGCGGCGCCAAGTATACCTTATACCTTCAGAGGTAGTTCGCTTGCTGCCCGCATTCCAGGTGCGGCGCCAAAGTATAACCCGTCACAGGAATTGCCTGAAAACGGTGCTCACGGGCAGTCTGACCCCTCTGAAGCGCGAATATTTTATCCGCATAGTACGGAGTAGCCTGGTGCCCAAACTGTGGACCCTCCGGACCACTTCTGACGGCTTCGCCTGTGGCGCGGATTTCGAGCCCTGTGCAAATGCAGTTGGGAAAACACGGCGAGAAGTACCATTCCAGGTTGCTTGCAGTGGTGGTCATTCATTTCGCTGAGGCTGAGCTTCACTAGGAAGGGATCATTCAGGGGGAGGAGCAGACGTGCAGAAGTGGGCCGCCCTATCGCTTGTACCCCCCCCCCACTCTGCCCGATCCTTCGTCCCTGTGTTCCCATGCCGAAGTTATATTTGTGTTTATGAAGTCAAACTACCAGTTGAGACAGGTTTTATATGGCGATTTGAAGTATTTCGGCGCTGGCGTCTGTAGCTCGAGCGCTAGATAGTTTCTGGACGATGGAGGTGACTTTCATATTCAGAGGATCAAATTGTCCGAACCAGTCATCAGACAAATCAAAGTTCCAACCTTTTGGAAGCTGAGACAGCGGCGGGTAAATAGTGCCAAACTTGGTTTTACTTTCTTCCACTCGCTATCACTTTTCTGCCGATTACCTGTCAAGGAACATCAACAGATCAAGAAAACGCCATGTAACTACGATCCGATCCTATCCCTTAGCGATCTAATACGACCCCTTGAGGTGCTTCTACTTATGGTTAGAGCACGCCCTCGCGTTGTGATAAATTCCTGCAAACGACCCCCCCCCTCCCCATCCTACCTACCACTTTCCTAGATTTTCCCAACTTCCTACCACTTTTTCCAGTTTTTCCGGCATTTCCCGAAAAATTTCTAGTTTTTCCCCAAATTTTGCTGTCGAGCGGGGGGGGGGAGAGGTCGTCAGGAACTAACTACTATTTTCAACTATCGGAAATAGTAGTTGTATAAATCTTTGGCAGTGCCGCCAACTGGGAGGGGGGCACATGTGAAAAGGAAGAAACCGCGAAAAGTCAACAACCGGGAAAAGTTTTTCTCAACGACGCAAATTCCTCTTAAAGACAAGTACGATCCCCCTCTCTCGTGGTCAAATACGACCCCCCC